GAGACTGGGGGGACTGTCTGACAGGGGGGACTGTCTGACAAGGTTATTCAGACTATCCAGGCAGCAAGAGCAGGATCCACCACAGCCTGTTACAGGCCAAAGTGGTTGGCATTCCAGCGATGGTGTGAAGAGGGGAGTCTAGAGCCCCTGTTGTGTACGTTGAGCTATATTATGTCCTACTTGCAGTTACTGGTGGACAGGGGGCTTGCTTGCTCATTCCACAATTAAAGTGTATGAACCAGCCATCTCGTCCTGCCATGAGGCATTTGGCGGCAGGTCAGCCTTCAGTCAGCTGCTTATGTCACAGTTTTTACAGGGGGTCAGGAGACAGCGCCCAGTAGTGCATGCCTCCGCCCCGCAGTGGGACCTGCCGTTGGTACTCGAGGCTCTGGTCATAGAACCATTTGAGCCTCTGGAGCTCTCTTCCTTGAAAGCACTGTCATGGAAGACAGCGTTGCTACTTGCCTTAACGTCGGCCAAGAGAGTGTCAGTGCACCCAAGTTGCTTAGGGCAGTTAGGGCAGTGGTTCTCAAACTTTCCCTCCCAATATATATATATTTCATTTTTTAAATTATAAATAAACTGTGAACTTTTATGCTACGATGTATGTGATGTCAGAACAACAACAACAAATCGCAGGCTACGTCAAATAAATGCATGTATCTGTTGTGATTTGTGATTCGTCCCCATTTAGACCAATTACAGCGTCACACTCTGCCGCCTATTCTGGATTTGTTTATTGTGCATTCTATAGACTCCCATTTCTGTTTGAATGACAAAATGGACATACAAAATTGGATTAAAAGGTCTAAGGATTTATTAAAACGAAATAGCGATGAAAGAACTGGCAGCCGATGGTGCCGGCTGGCGACCTGCACCTCCGTTGCGCAGCCGCCTTAGAGAGAGAGAGAGAGAGAGGAGAGGAGAGAGAGAGAGAGAGAGAGAGAGAGAGAGAGAGAGAGAGATAGGAGAGGAGGAGATAGAGTAGATAGAGAGAGAGAGATATAGATACTATATAGAGAGACTCTGAGCTATATAGAGAGATAGGATACGAGAGAGAATAAGCGACGAGCTAGACGAGATATAGCGATCTATCTCTCTCTCTCTCTCAGATATATCTCTCGCTCACTCTCCGCTCTCAGCTCTCTCTCTCTCACCCTCTCAGGACACAAATAAGTGAAAATTAGAACTTTGGTGCAAGTTATCAGCTTGCCACGGAAACCGTTTTATTACGTGTCAGCTTTCTCCGTTGTATATTATAATAGCTTTTTTAGCTGTTCAACCAACTCCCTCTCAGAGGTGACTCGATTCACTCCACAGCATGTCCGAGTGCAGTGCATAGGAACATAAACCATGCCCAAGGCGGGCTAAACAGTTAATCGTCTCCGTCTCTACTATTTCTCTCGGAGTGCAGCGATGAGGAAGCTGCCATCCGTAACCAGTGTGCCTTGCTCGTGATTTACCAGTGTCTGTGCTGCCACGCACACAATGTTTCAAAGTGGTTGCTATGTTGCCCTTTATTTGTGTATGTTTGCGATAAGTGTGCGTCTTTACGCAATGCTGTTGGCCTTGCTGTTTGATATTGTGCCGCAGGCCCGCAGCACATGACGGTTTTGTGTGCCCTCCCATGAAAATCATATGCCCTCCCTTTAGATTTGTTCTGGCGCCGGGTCTGGGCGCACTGAACAGCTGTTTGAGTGCTTTGGGGGCGGCGTGGCCGGAAAAGCTCTGTCCAATAAACGCCTTTGGTTCGCCTAGTACCTGCATTTCTTGTATTGCATGTATAACCTCAACAATGTAAAGCGTAGTTATACTGTACGGATCAATATGTTTCCCTAAACACTGGGCAATTAAAGAAAGATTTATATTGAATATCACAGATGTTTATTGAAATAACATTTGGCCTTGGGTTCTCTTCTAGGCCTTGACTATAAGGGTTGCACTTCGCTCTGCATCAGCCAAACGGCTCGCTGCACCCTCGCTGCGAGGGGGACCCAAGTTCCCATCAGCAAAAACACGAGGGTTTGCTATCCTGGCTCTAAAATGGTGGAATGAGCTCCCCATTGAAATCGGGACAGCAGAAAGCCCGCACATCTTCCGGCGCAGACTGAAAACTCATCTCTTTCGACTCCACTTCGAGCGATAGAATTGCTAACAAATAACTGCTAACAAAGCACTTATATAGGCCTACTAATAAAGGACTGGCTTATCTATAGCCAGTTGAGTAGCACTTGAAATGTTTTAGCTCTATGAAACCTGATGTACTTATATGATTCTGTTTTCTTCAAGGTTGTATCTTCCTGGTCGAATGTAGGCTACTTATTGTAAGTCGTTTTGGATAAAAGCGTCAGCTAAATGCAATGTAATGTAAATTAATTGTTTAAAAGGTTAGTTTGGCCATTCCTGAAAGAAGTTTCACTCTGAAATCACATGTATATATTTTCTACTTTTTATTATAAACACACCTTAAAAGTTTTAAAATGCTGTTAGTGTATTGATGTGTGGAATAAGGTCAAGTTTGGCAACCATAACTATAGTTTAAAAACGAAACACTCAAGAGGTTTTGGAACAGACAGGTGTGTGTATGAATTAAAAAACTTTCCTGCCTGTTTGATATAATGGTTGAATTTGTCAGTTTAACACTGCTGAACCCCTTTTACACTCTGACAAATCGCTGATGTTTGACATTATAATTTGGATGACTAGAAGAAAAATATATCATCTCTTCTCCAGCAACAGTTTGTTTTCATTCAAATGTAATTTGATGTGTATTTGCAATGTTGGCAAGCTGAGATAAGACTACAGTGGCTGAGAGAAATCTGTTAAAAGTCTTGAAACAATATGGTATTCCCTCTGGCGCCACCCTCAGGCCAAACGTCGTCTTTGTTGCCAGTTGTGTTTTTTCCTTGTGGTATCCAAGAATATGCCCTGTATTTTCTCCATTTCCCAACCCTTGCAATATTTTCATTGTAATAATCATTGCATCTTTACTTGCAGACTTTTAGTTTTATTGTATGTGTGCAGGGAGCATCATTTGTGTTTGTTTGTCTTATGAACCCAAAGTAAAGGTTTATTACTTTGATAGTTATATCACACAAAACTCTCAACCTTGTGTCAGGCCAAACAATGCGCCTCAACTGAGTTATAATCACAACATACCACAGCCTGTCAGTAGGTATTGCTTACATTGACCCGAATGTATATGTGTGTTTTTAGACAGACGTCATCCAGCTATCCTGATGTGTGATGTTTTCTCAGAACTTTGGATAACTGAAAGGCTTGAATCTCTATAGACTGATTAAAAAGAAAACTCTGTTCTGAGGCAAATGAGTTTAGGCAGCATTTAACTCACTATACATTGTATGACACCAGTAACCAATATTTTAAAAAGCTTCACATTATCTCAACCTAACCTAAGTAAAAAAACACAAAAACCAAGGTAGACTTAGATACCCATGTGTTTTATTGTATTCAACAACAAAACAGTAGTTGGTTTGGTTGGCAATGGCATCCACTCACAAAAGCCTCGGCATTTCCAAAGACACAAGAGAAGCCATGAAGAAATCAATAAAAAGAAAGAGTACAATTAATCATCTTTAAATGATTAAATAAGCAATATTAAGACTTGATGTTGTCTTTAATCGTTTCATATGTCTGCTCTCCAGCTTGTCCTTCGGGTTGGATGGAAGCATCTCTTCTGAGTCGTCAAGGTAACCCTGGATGTACCTTTTCCTTCACGGTGAATAGCAGGAGCTATTCATGGTTAGTACAAATAAACTGGTATCATTACATTGTGATGTATGTATGATGGGTATAGTACAATGTGTAGGTAGTTTGGGCAATAGCATAGTACATTTTCTGTTCTTATATTATATCCTCCTCTACTGCTTTTGTCCATAGTGAATCACAGCAGCTCAGGAGGTGGAGTAAGAAGAAGAAAACATATTGAATAGACAGCAAAGAAACATTTAGCCTTGTAATCAATTCCCAGTGTTCAAATGACACAACAATCATACTCTGGTTAGAAAATAAATAATAGATTCACATTCCGAATATGAAACAATACAATCAATAGTTAGTTAAACAGGTAATAGGCATATTTTGCTCTGACAGTGACAAATGGTTCATTTTAAATATTATAGCACATGTGAACAAACTCCATCAACAGTCAGTCAGCTGTCAAGGCCGACTGACAGCTGATCAGCTCCTTCAGAGGAAAGGACATCTATACTTCTCCACATTTCCTGGTTTCCTCTCTTCACATGGCTTTAAGACAACTAGTTATATCTATCCAGGCTCAGTGGTGTAAACTAAGTAGATTTACTCAATTAATGTACTTAAGTACACTTTTAAGGGACTTGCACTTTACTTGAGTATTTAAATGTCTTGTTACTTCTACCCCTAATTCAAAGGAAATCTTGTGCTTTTACTCCACTATATGTAATACTTTTAGTTACTTTATACCAGATTTGGAATAATGATGTGATATATAATCAACCCTTAATTAAGACTTTAGTTAAACCTGGAGTAACATTCACAGCAACCCTGCAGAAATCAAAGTTAGCTGCACCTTTACAAGCTTTGATAATTGACAATAATTTTAATCAAAACATATCATATAATATATGATACTGAAATCTGCATATTGTTACTTTAAGTATATTTTGATGCTAATACTTTTGTACGTTAACTTGAGTAACATTTTGAATGCAGGACTTACTTGTAAAAGAGTATTCCTAAATGATGGTACTTCTAATTGTACTTAAGTACAAGATCTGATTACTTCTCCCACCTCTGCCCAGACTCTGAGAGCTTGAAATCCTCTCTCGACAGCCCATAGCTTCATCTCCAGTATCCAACTCCAACGATATCCAAAAACTTTCTTACAGCATCCATACAGGTGCCGTTAACCAAGAGAGGGCTTTTGTTTTGAAATTACTTCCAAGAGAGTGGCCCCGCCCCTATCTCGAATCATCATTTGAACATTTTGTAAGGTGAAAACCAAAAGTTAAATGAACTAAAAAGTTAAAAAGCACTCGAGTTGCTTTTTGTTTACTGTTTAAAAAAAGAAAGACATGAATCTAAGGAACACGGATTGTGGAGCAGCCTCTGAGTAAGCTCAGTGTGAGGGGCGCGGCCTCCCCTCCGGCTCCCTGCTGCGGTCTCTGCTCTCTGAGTCTGTACCGGGAGGACCGAGCGCTCCGTCCATCCACAGCGGCGGAGATGGCGGACCCCGCAGCGGAGACCACCATCAAGGTGGTGTGCCGGTTCAGGCCGCTGAACCGCTCGGAGTTGGCCCGGGGAGACATATACGTCCCGAAGTTTCAAGGGGAGGACTGTGTGCAAATGGGGGTTAGTGTGTTTCTCTCTTCTCAGCTCTGGGGTGAAAAGCTTAGAGGGCTATACTTCTTCCACTTTTCATTACGGGAATGTCAGGCAATTATCTCTAATTGAGTGTTTTAACTGTAGGCTATATCAAGTATTGCTGCTAAATATTTCCCTTTTCTGCTTTTTATGTCTCTTCAAGTGTACAAATACCATTAAAACAGTAGTTAATTTGATAACATGGAAGTGATTTGAGCTCTGGTTTCAACATGGACAAAACTTAAAACCAAACTCTTGATTGAATGTGACTTTCCAACACATTTCTTGAATCACTTGGCATCACTTGTAAATAAATAACATTGTATAATGTATTATTTATGTTGCTTTAAATTTTTCCAAAGTACTTTAAACTGTGGTGTTTTAGTCGTGTTTTTACTTCAGTAAAGTTTAGGCCTAGCTTATACAGCTTTTCAGGCGGTCGATAATGTCATCATGACTTGGAAGGGAAGACATTTAAACACCGTGTAAATAAATGTTGTCAGCCTTTTCCCATATTTAACCAGTATAAAGTTCCATCACTCAAGCTTAAACTTGCCAGTTTAACACATGTTCAACCGGTTCACCTGTGCCTTTTTTTTTTTTAGCTCCACCTGCATTCAACTAGCTCAGCAGAAAGCTAATTGAATGTTAGGCCTGCTGCTAACTTTTTAGCATGAGTCGTGACAGTGCTAAAAGGCCAACGAATGAGTGTGTTTTGTTAGCAATAAGCTTTTGGTGACTGTAACTTAAACAATTAAAGTTTAATACAAAATATTAACCTTCAGCATCTATGAAACGTCATTATACTTTCCTTCACAACAGCATATAGCTGCATATAAAGGACTAGGTCCCTCACCACGTCATTGACATTGTCTCAGTATTGTAAATATTATGTGAATTTACTTTTATTGGCAATAGATGAAGCTCAAAACTAGATATATTTTGTATTTCCATGCCTCTTGAGTCCAGCTACTTTCCTTATTTTGAAGGCCAACAGTCCATATTCTTATTGTTTCCTGAATAAACACTCTAAATATTCCACCCCTTACTGCTGAATATCCGGAGTAAGGTTGAGTTATGAATGCCTATTGCCGTGTAGCAATATGGAAATTCATGTTTGCACGTGTAACCCATCACTGCATCCACCTCTTTTCAGGGTAAACCGTACTACTTTGACCGCGTGTTCCAGTCAGAAACAACCCAGGTGCAATTCTACAACGCTGTGGCTCAGAAGATTGTCAGGGGTAAGATGTACTGTAAAATACTGATGCTGTGTCAATAACTAACATACTAAAATACTACTAATACAAGCTTTAACCTCATTGTCCTATTTCTTTGTCTTGATGTGTACAGATGTGTTGGAAGGCTACAATGGGACGATATTTGCATATGGGCAGACAGCCTCTGGTAAAACGCACACAATGGAGGTAATTGTCTTATCTTTTTTTACTACTGGACAAATATACAAAACAATTGTGACTGAAAAGCCAAACATTCTATTAACATTTTGAATATAACTGTCTTCTAAAGGGGAATCTCCATGACCCAGCCATGATGGGAATCATTCCCAGAATTGTTCAAGACATTTTCAACTACATTTATTCCATGGATGAGAACCTGGAGTTTCACATCAAAGTATGTTAACATATCAATCAGGTGCTCATATGCTTCCAAATGTCAGGAATAACACGTTATAAAGTTTCACTTTGCTTTGCAGGTTTCATATTTTGAAATCTATTTGGACAAAATTAAGGACTTGTTGGATGGTATGGTTGAAGCAACTTCTTCTCATTCAGACTCTAATGCTCACAACATAGATTCAGAACTGATGTTTCCTTTCCTTCTCCTCCACAGCCACAAAGGTCAACCTCTCGGTGCACGAAGATAAAAACAGGGTGCCCTATGTCAAGGTCGGAAACACAGGGGGGTTTATTTTTAGGTTGAGAAATGTTATTTGGGTTGCAGCATTGATTGTTTCTGATGAAGTCACAGAGTCACAAGTTTTTCCCTAGCCATTTGTTATAGATGGATAAATTAATGTGATAAAAGCAACTGTGAACTGCAGGGTACGAAGAGGGCTACATAACCCAACATTTACAATAATTTTCTATTATGGAATGAGTATGTTTGATTGAATTAGATGGGGATAAAGAGATAATTGAAAATAAACCTAGAACATGTAGTTATTTTCTCTTTTTAACTTTCCCTGTGAAAGCATCAGCCTGATAAAGCAAGTCACGGTCTTTTGAGCTAATAATTGTCTTTCTGTGAAGCCAACCTGCTGCAGGGCTGCTGAACACAGCGTCTCCTTGTGATTGCATGTGTCTTCAGGGGTGTACAGAGCGTTTCGTGAGCTGTCCCGACGAGGTCATGGACGCCATAGACGAAGGCAAAAGCAGCAGACATGTGGCTGTCACAAGTGAGTTCACACACTGAGCGCCTTTAAGGCTGCTTCCTCTCATGGGTTCAACCTCACTGAGTCTCCTGACTGCAGCGAGACTCTTAGCCAGAACGCTTTGTGTGTGCAAGCCACATACATAACCAGACAGGAAAAGGGAAGTATGTCTTATTCTAAACCCATGGCTTAATCTGTAGCTATCTAAGATTAATTTAGTATTTGGTATATCTTCCCAATCTCATTCCAATGCCGGCTGCTGGAGTTTAAATACCACCTCCTTTTTCATGTCTTCAACTTTGGTACAGAACAGAGAGGTTTTATAACAGCACTCCAGCCCCGCCCCTCACAGGGTGTGTGAAAGGAGCTTTCATTTCACCGGACTTCTTTTTGCATCTGATGTTTTCTGAAATGTAACATTTGTCATGATCTATTCTGTAAGTATAGGACATGACAATTTCAGTACCAATGCAACAGCTAAAACAATAGTTTAAAGGTTTTAGGGTCCTTTGGCCAATAAAACACGTTTATTTATATTGCACTTTTCAGCACGAGGCAATCCAAAGTGCTTTACAAAAATACTATTAAGATATAGTGCAACCGAAACACATTATAAACTGACATTAAAATACAAGAAAACCAAGCTAAAATAGAATAACCAACCTATAAAATATAATTCTTAAAGATATACTGCTGTGTAAGATATGAATATGTATTTGATTTCATTGAAGGCAGAGGCGAAAAGAAAAGTCTTCCAGCTGGACCTGCAGTTTTTGGGGAATTTGTTCCAGTGGTTTGGAGCATAGAACCAAACTCGTTATTTAAACCTACAGTCAAATGTTGAAGTCTGGGGTGATTTGATCCACTTTCTTTGTGTTAGTGAGAACTCGAGCAGCTGCATTCTGAATAAGCCCTGAAAAGACACCATAACAGTATTTGAGTCTGATTGAGGATAAATGCATCATAAACCCTATTTACAGGATTACTTTTTTATTACTTATACTAAATATAATCTGCGGAGGTACTAATTAAAAATCTCTATGCAAATGAAGATGCTTTCAAGTGGGCTAATCACCAATAATTTTGTTAGTTTTTCTTAAATTGTGAAAAAACGATAATCCTTTTCCATAATGTATCCGGATAACATTATTGTTAGACATTCCCTGGCTTATGTTCAAATGTCATCATAGCCCAAACAACAGAAAGGTTTGAGTGTCCCATTTAGGCTGTATGAATCTTATTGTCATGGTGACTTTACTATGCTCATATGCTGCATGTGAGAATGAGTCCTTACCCCAAGTGAAGGAGTTCAAGTATCTCGGGGTCTTGTTCTCGAGTGAGGGAACAATGGATGTAGCGTGAGATGGGCCGGAGAATCGGAGCAGCGGGAGCGGTACTGCAGTCGCTTCACCGCACCGTTGTGACGAAAAGAGAGCTGAGCCAGAAGGCAAAGCTCTCTGTCTACCGGGCCATTTTCATTCCTACCCTCACCTATGGTCATGAAGGATGGGTCATGACCCAAAGAACGAGATCGCGGATAGAAGCGGCCGAAAAGGGTTTTCTCCGCAGGGTGGCTGGCGTCTCCCTTAGGGATAAGGTGAGAAGTTCAGTCATCCGGGAGGGACTCGGAGTTGAACCGCTCCTCCTTCGCGTCGAAAGGAGCCAGTTGAGGTGGTTCGGACACCTAGTTAGGATGCCACCTGGGCGCCTCCCTAGGTAGGTGTTCCAGGCACATCCAGCTGGGAAGAGACCAAGGGGTAGACCTAGGACCAGGTGGAGGGATTATATCTCTTCGCTGGCCTGGGAGCGCCTTGGGGTCCCCCAGTCAGAGCTGGTTGATGTGGCCAGGGAAAAGAAAGTTTGGGGCTCTCTGCTGGAACTGCTACCTCCGCGACCCGACGACGGATAAGCGGGAGAAGATGGATGGATGGATATGCTGCATGTGACATCAGTGCAGCATAGCTATGTCTTGTTGGAGAGTCATCAGCCATGTTCTCATGCTCTGTGATAAAAGCTATCTTTTTTCACACTGCTCTCATCATTTGAATTTAATTTTTTTTCACCTTTTTAATTCAGTCCTTAAAGATATATTTAGTTCAAAAAGCAATCCCGACCAGTGCAGTTCAAATTTTGTAATATGTTTTCCTTACACTGTATAACAGGATAGGATTTTATGATTTGTAAGAATTGAATGGATTAGCGTTAGAGTTTTTAGAGTGCAAAAATCAGATTGCATGTTATTGTGGCTTGGAAAGTTTTATAAAGTAAAAAATCCTTTTGGGCAATGTGTCTTTAAAATATTAGCATACTTGTTATTCCAAATAATATTGTTGTTAATACTTACTATACCTAGAATTGCTATACTTATCATAAATAATTTGGACTTTTCCTCAATAATACTAACAATGTACACTTAGCATTAGCCCAATGCTTATTGTGTTTCTGTGTTTGTTTGTGTGTGGATGTGTCACACCTGTATGTCAGACATGAACGAGCACAGTTCCAGGAGTCACAGCATCTTCCTCATCAACATCAAGCAGGAGAACTCTCAGACCGGACAGAAGCTGATCGGCAAGCTGTACCTCGTGGACCTGGCAGGCAGTGAAAAAGTTAGTTTACATCCTGCACTCGTCCTCCCCCTCGCTTTGGATTGCATCTGCATCCTCCTCCAGATTCAGAACACATAATTGTAGTTTTTGAGATTTTTTGTTTTGTTTTAAAGGCATGGTAAGTACTTCTTTTAAACATGGTTTAACCTTCTAGATGCGGACCGGTCTTATGAAGGCTTTGCTGTATTAACTGAATTCACATAATGAAACTTTATTGACACACAGCTGCCTCTCCTTTAATCAGGGGACACTACAGTAAACTGTCTTATCTGTATGGTATCCATAATACCATTAAAACCTATAATATGCTTTGTCAACCCTCTTTTATAAATCTGATTATGTTAATAATATTATCAGTTAATAATACACGGTTCCTTAATCTTTGGTATAGTTATTTTTGACAGTTTGGAGAATGATAACCATGTTGTGAGCAGTTAGAATGTAGAAGTAATCCTATTAAGTAATTTTTCTTATGATAGAGTGTGCTTCCGGCCTTACTCTGAGAACTCTCCTGTGTTTGTGTGTTTCACAGATTGGTAAAACAGGAGCAGAGGGCACAGTGCTGGATGAAGCCAAGATGATCAACAAGTCGCTGTCTTCACTGGGAAATGTCATCTCAGCTCTGGCAGAGGGCTCGGTGAGGCAGTCAGCACTATCTCTGGGATGTTGAGTTTTCAGAGTTATGTTCTTCCATCTAACTGCCTTTTAAATAGCCTATCTAAGAGGGAGAATGTGATTAAACGTTTAGTATTAAAGGTAGGGTAGGTAATTCACTTCAGAAACACTTTTTAAATATTCCATTTAATTCTATTAACATCCCAATAGCAATGAATAAATGAAATGCTTTGACAATAAATATATACAAATATTTCATCTGTGGAAGCCGTGGCGCTGTAAAAAGCTATCCAATATCTGCCCCGGCCCGCGGGAGATAATTGGATGGCCTACCTGCCTCTCAGCCTTCCATCTCGTGCACAAACTTATCTCGTGCCCTCATTGGTCATGTGCGGGTTTGTGTGTGTTGGAGGAGGGGCTCTATAAGGAAGTCCGAAGGAAGGGGCAGATTTCTTTTTGGTTGTGTATTTTCAAATTCTAGTTTACTCAAGCTGGTTTCTCCATTCTTACCTACCCTACCTTTAAGTAGGAATAATAATATGTAATCCAAAACAAATAGCCTTTAAAATGATGACATTTTCCACAGTATACCTTGGAAATATTATTATCTTAGTAGGAGCTCTGTATGTCCTGCTAATTGTAAATGGTGTCCTCTGTCAGGCTTATGTGCCGTACAGAGACAGTAAGATGACCCGGATCCTGCAGGACTCCCTGGGGGGGAACTGTCGAACCACCATGGTCATCTGCGCCTCACCCTCTGCCTACAACGACGCTGAGACCAGGTCCACTTTGCTGTTTGGACAGAGGTACGCTCTAACACATACACTCACAACTTACCGATGAAATATGTGGACCACACTTCATGGAAATCATAGGAATCATGTCAATGCAAGTTACATAAGTTCAAATCTCTAAATTAGCTGCACCTTTGCCAGCTGTGATAAACTTTTAAAGCATCAATAATTATAATCAAAACATACAATATATATTATTCTGAAATTGGCTAATCTGCAAAATGAATACTTTTACTTTTGTTACTTTAAATATATATATTTTTGTACTTTTACTTGAGTAACATTTTGATTGCAGGACTTTTACTTGTAACAGAGTATTTCTACACTCTGGTACTTCTACTTTTACTTTAGTACAAGATCTGAGTACTTCTTCCTCCTCTGAGTAAAAGCAGTACTGCGTGGCTGGGCTGGTGATATTACCTTCCTGTGTCACCAGGGCAAATACCATCAAGAACACAGTGACTCTGAATGTGGAGCTGACTGCAGAGCAGTGGAAGAAAAAGTGGGAGAAAGAGAAGGAGAATAACAAGACGCTGAAAAACACCGTCACATGGCTGGAGAGCGAGCTGACCCGCTGGAGAGGCGGTAAGGACAACAACATCCCACATATGTATTTGCCACTTATGCTGCTTTGGGATATTTAAAGAGAGGCTGATGAGCTTGAATGTACTTACTTATACTCAAAGAGTTATGTTTTACGAATTCCAGCCATGGCACACAAAGTATTTATCCTTATGCATAATCACAGATGTTTCGTGCCTTTAAAAAATGGTCTAACTTATTTTCCTACTGTATTTTCCAACCAACGCAGAAAAAAAGGTTTGGTAATATAGATTTATAAAATGTACACTGTAGTAATCTGATCATCATAAAGGAGTACAATACTTTCGTTAGGATGAGTTTAAAAATAAGCAAAACAACTAAAACTTTTACCTCTGATTTTAGTATTTTTGCACAAGGTTATGGTTTGAGCTAATTCACATTGGTCATATCTTTGGCTTGAATATGACAATTGCTAATCAAAGACTCCTTTGTTTTCACACGAGCAATGACTCTTCAGAAATGTGCATGATCATGTCGGTCTTACACTGATCTAAAGAGCCGAGAAATCTCAAGTTGTCGGAAGTCTCCCTCTTAATAAGCCCGGTGCCCCCGCCCGGTGCCCCAAACTTCTTAACATTTGACAACCTATTAATGTGTCATACCCACTTAACGGGAAGAAACTCAGCTAACTGACGATATGAACCATTTTTACCGAAACAAAATACAACTCTAACGCCAAGCCTCTGAATTAGCACTAAGCGAAAGAGTGCACATAACTCACGGTAGAAATATAAAGCTTGTTGTCTACTAACCCATCATTCAAGGGTGGTTTTCACTATAAGTAATGTTTTTTTTTTGGACGGAGACTATAATTTACATTTTTTTACTATGTTCAATCTGAATTTACTTTAAAATAAAAACATCTATATTGATTCTGACTTCTCTACATCCCAATGTCACAGGTGTGTCATTGCTTTGAGAAAAAAGATTATTAATTTACCTCTTTTTGAACTGAAGTTATAGTAATTTGTTCTGGCAATGTCATTGTCGAGCCTGAGACCTGAAAAACAGGCTCAGGGCTTAACAGGTTAAAAGGACAGGATGATTAAGACTCCATTTACACGCAAACGCATACGAAACGCAAACGAACCGAATACGATATCAAAAAAGGATTCCATTCACACGAGACCGCGCTGGAGACGCTGTAGTACATATGCCGGGCCTATAAGTGGCGCTGTACTTCATTTTCTGCTGCCCCCTGCAGGAGAGAGTGTGCCAGTGGAGGATCAGTTTGATAAAGAGAAGGCCAAAGCAGAGGTGCAGGCCCTGGACAGCGCGCTCAACAACGACAAGACTGCCCCCACACCGGCCCTCAGCGCCCCCCCCGGGGTCAAACTAACTGACGCTGAGAAAGTGCAGTATGGGGCAGAAATGGCCAAGATGTACAAAGAGATGGATGACAAGGTGAACACATTTTTGTGGGGAGTGTTTTTGCAAATGCTTGTGGCACGCACACAGCAGCATTTTTTACAGCTGGGCATTGACTCACTGGATGCTCATCTCTGTATGGTGGTTTCACTGATCAAGTCAGACAATTTTTAATGATCTCCACTAAAAATAAGAGAGTAAGTCTTTTTGAATAAGACAATACATGAATGTCCTATACAATTATGCCTTAAAAAACTATTGAAACATCAGATGATACTGAACAAATTAGAGTTGTGCCATTTACAAATCAATGGGATCACAACCATAATATAACATAAGTCATGAACATAGAATAACCTAAAACCAAGTATGAACACTAATATATTGTGGTAGTAATGGGTAATAATGCTGCACATGACATGCATACATCCACTGTATATTTACTGTTTAAGAATGATGAAGCTACCAGTTGCTTTATATTCAATAGAGCTTCACTACACTGAAGCTACTCCTCCCCCCAGCAAGATTTCAGATTATAAACAACATCAAAGTTACTTTTTACATTGAAGCAACTTCACTCCAAGTCGTCAATACTATTATTATAAAAAGTTGAAGTACATACAAAATAAATAAGATATAATTCATATTGAATCATGGAACAAACATTCAAATATATATTGTATATTCTACTATCAATGTTTTTTTAATTCTAACTTTCATAGACAATTATGCACCTTTTTACTACTAGAGCAATCATTTCATTTTAATTTCAATGTAAGATTCTTAATTCGGATGAGATAACATTTTTGTGTAATTTACACCTGACTTGCCCTAATGTACTGTGAACTAGCCTGTAGCATATTAACATAATTAAGCATTGTATGTGCACGCTCATGCCGACTTCCTTAATCATATGACCAACAAATCCATCCTTCTGCATTATACCTGCCTGTTTCAACAGCTGATGGAAGTTTACCCTAACTTAACTATGCATGTCAATCAAAAGTCTATTATTTTCTGTCTGATATGTATTATTGACTTAAAGAATAATTAAAAAATATATAAGTAATGGACAGTTCAGATGTAGCTTTATACATACTTTTTTTTTAATGACATTTCAATGTTGTTAATATTGCTAGAATTACCTGCTTTAGTCCTTCTTACATGTGATATTTCTATTGGTCAGCAGATGGCGTGATTGACTGCTGTTCAGTACTGCATGTGGATGTGGTGGAAATAAGTTGTGTACTTAAAATAATTGTTCTTCTCTCTTACAATCTTACACTTATTTCAGGACGATGAGATCAACCAGCAGTCCCAGGAGTTAGAGAAGCTGAAGGAGCAGATGTTGGACCAGGAGGAGGTGACAAAACTTCCTCCTTCCCCCCCCCTCCCCTTCCTTCCAAATAGCCCTACAGCCGTTCCTGTTAGCACAAACCCGGTCTGACAGCTTGTGGCAGACCATTAGTATCCCTGCAGGAGAGGTCAGATTGCAGCTCACCCTAGCAACAGTTGAGCCCTACAGATGGAACACATGAGGTTTCTTAGCTGTGCCATGTCATTCGAAGATGAACTCTATACCCCTTGCACCCTTTTCCCTTCCCAGGCTGAGCATCTCTGTCTTATCTTCACTCCCTATCCCCAACTGTAGCTCTTAGCCTCCTCCCAGCTGGATCACAACACCCTGCAGACTGAACTGAACCGGCTGCTGGCTGAGAACGAAGCCTCCAAGGAGGAGGTGAAGGAGGTGCTGCAGGCTCTGGAGGAGCTCGCCCTCAACTATGACCAGAAGAGTCGGGAAGTGGAGGACAAAGCGCAGGAGTTTGAGGCTCTCAGTGTGGAGCTTAACGAGAAATCGGTACTTATTCTAAGCAGAATCCATCAAAATACAGGACACTGATCATGTGATCACCTTGTGTGTACTTATATTTATCACCCTCCACCACCAGAGCTCCCTGGCCTCCATTGACTCTGAGCTGCAGAAGCTGAAGGAGATGACCAACCACCAGAAGAAGAGGTTCACTGAGATGATGTCATCATTACTCAAAGACCTGGCCGAGATAGGCATCGCCGTGGGAAGCAACGACATAAAGGTCACCAGCCAAACTTACGAATTCAGAAATATTCTAGAAACTAAGAATTGTTTCACAGAGCAACTATGGCCTGTTGAGAATAGATGACATTCTCATTTCAGACATTATTAAAGCAGCTGAAACATACCCCGCCTGCATTGCATGTGTCTTTGGGCAGCATGTTTCCAGTTTTTTTTGTCTGTGTTTGAGTTGATTAGGGCAATATTTGCTCAAAAAGAATGGATTTGTGTAAAGCTGCAGAAAACATCTATTATTATTGTCATTAAGTTCATTTTCTATGAAAAAATACGATGAATGAAAAAGAGTGTTAGCTGCACCCCTAGTAGCCCCTCATGTGCCGTTTACAGTTTTTTCTGTAGATGAGACTTTCTGTATATTTAGCTGTAATGGTTAGTCTGTGGTTTTCAGTTGGACATTTATTGACATTTTCAAAAAGGACAAAAACATTTGAAGGACATATTAATGACTGTCACTTTTAGCTACGGACAAACTGTCAAAAACGGCTACTTTGTTTCCTCTCTTTCCCCTCAGCATCACAAGAGCAGCGGTCTCATCGATGAAGAGTTCACCACGGCCCGCCTCTACATCAGTAAGATGAAGTCGGAGGTGAAGACGATGGTGAAGCGCAGCAAACTGCTGGAGAGTTCAAAGGCCGAGAACACCCAGAAGATGGACGAGACGGAGAGTGAGCTGATCGCCGGCCAGCTCCGCATCTCCCAGGTAACCACTGCCTCATGGATACTGTCTCCACAGTGACAAATATGTCGGTTAATTAGAAAAGCAGATCATGTCGTTGTCAAAGGGGGGCTTGTTGGGTTTTTGCAAATCTATGGATGTCTTAGTTCTTGGTTTAAAAATAGTTTGTGAGTTTTTAGGAGTTCATTATGGTTTTAATGTCTCTTTCATTTTCCTGTGGTTGTCCAGTATGAAGCTAAGATCAAGTCCCTGACAGACAGCCTCCACAATGTGGAGCAAAAGAAAAGACAACTGGAGGAAACGGTGGACTCTCTCAATGAGGAAATAGTTCGGATCAGAGCCCAAGGTAAGCATCACTCACTGTGCTGTCAAAAAACAAATCCAGCGTTAACCATTCAATGATCCGGAGCGAGTTTAAAGTTGTGATACCAAAAACATCCCAAGGTGCATTGGAATTATAGGATGTCTTTCCATACAGGGAATAAACTGCAAAAAAATCCCAGATGGCATATTTATGATGCACCTTTTAGATTTGTTTTGCTTTTTATTAACAGACCTTAACGTTTTTTTGAGTACTTTGGCCCCACTTGGCTACTTCTCATATTTGTAATAATTACACATTATAGTTAATACTTAAACATAGACTTATTTAAACACAATAACAATAGCACAATTGTGGACATTGATACATCTAAGCAGATGTGTTCTTTCACTCTTAATTGCCATTTCTACTGCTAGAGCTCAATATAAAATAAAAAATGGTCAGCTTTTTCCATTGCTTTTTTTCTCACTGTGGACCTTATATGTTGTAGCAGTATTCACAGAATGATAGTGATACCTTATCAGTTCTTTTGCTTCCAGAGAAAGTCAACACCATGGAGAAAGAGAACGAGATCCAGTCTGCCAATGAAGTCAAGGTACTGTCCCCCTAAGCTGTCTCTTACTGGTGTGGTCTCCATATTAAAGAGGGTGACTGTAGCTGTGTGTGTCTTCAGGAAGCTGTGGAGAGGCAGATCCAGTTTCACAGAGAGACCCATCAGAAGCAGATCAGCAGCCTGAGAGACGAGCTGGACAACAAGGACAAACTCATGACAGAGCTAGAGGAGTAAAGCACAACATCACTAACATTAGTCTCTCTTATTGTTTCCATGAGTGACATACTGATACCAACATGTGTGTAGTCTGAACCAGAGGATCATGCTGGAGCAGGAGCGGCTGAGGATGGAGCATGAGAAGCTGAAGGCTGCTGACCAGGAGAAGAGCCGCCAGCTGCAGGAGCTCACGTAAGGCCTCTGTATACTCAGTGGGCATTGTTTTCATATAACCCAACATGCATTTAGTAACATGGATTTTACATTGTGCAGGGTGATGCAGGACAGGAGGGAGCAGGGCAGAAATGACCTGAAGGGACTGGAGGACACTGTGGTCAGTTACTGCCATCTCCATTTCAATCTGTTCATTTAAAGGGGAAGGTCACCCAAAATTAAGACAAAAATAGATGTTTAATTTAATTAAAATGTCGGCAAAGGGAATTTTCATTTCAATTGAAGAATTGACAAAGTCATGTAACATGTCAATCCAGAAACAGTGCCCCGTTAAAACCAGTGAACTTAAATAATAGAGCATATTAAACTATTATTTGTATGTAGACTGTTCCTGTATACTTTAGACTTCCACAAAGCAATGCGCAACTGAATGATCCAATTGATTATTTTTGCACTTTTTAAAGGACTCTCTACTTGTGAAGTTTAATTCGCATGGATATTTTCATGTTGCATATTGATTTGTTAAGCATGGGATATAGGCATATATTGTTTAATTTCACATAATATTTATATTGTAAAGTGTGCAGAATTTGTATACACTACAGGAACTGCAAAAATCAGAACACCACAAAGATTACAATATACTGTATATTTCACACTAATTATATATAAATTTGGATTTGGGTCAACAACAATGGATGTCAAATTAGCTATCTCTTATAAGGCAGGTGTCCTTAGAATTAAACAAATCTGAATATCTCCTAAGGACAATAACTGTATGGAGATTAAGCAAGGTGACACACAAATCATATCAGCAAATCATCCTCATCTTTATTTACATTAACTTCATTTATGGCATTTCATGTAAAAATCTCACTTTGAAGTAGAGGTACCATCCACACATGATTGGAACACATTTTCTATACTAAGATTCAGGTGGATATGGGTCACTGATTTCTTTATAAAACAACATTCTATTTACTACTCTGTTTGGGCTAAAGCATATATCTCAGGGGAGGATAACTCAAATCCTGGAACAAATCTCTGTGAAGCAACCCTTTATGTCTCCAAATGTTTGTTTTTTTCTGAAGTGGGTTTCCTTGCTGTCCCACAGGGCCGAGAGCTGCAAACACTCCACAACCTCAGAAGGCTTTTTGTCCAAGACTTGGTCACTCGCGTCAAAAAGGTAAAGCCCTGTCTGTGTGTATACGTCCTCATGTTCTCGAGAAACTGCTCATGGTACCCTATCACTCTAACATCCTCCTGTGATCTGGTTTTTGTGTGATTTCCTCTTCTATGTAATATCACATTAGCTCCTGTTGCCCTGACTTCCACATTTACCTGGAATGAGACGCGTAGTTCGCTCATGCACCGGCTGCACTCCATTTAATTTGCCCCATGATGAAATGTTAATGAATCCAGGGAACACAACAGAAAGGGTGTGCGATAACTAGGCCATCGGATTCTTCAAAGGTAGCAGCTGTAAATTAGGGACCCAGACTCAGCATGGCGCTCATCTCCAGCACTCAAGCTGAGGCTCCACGAGATAAACAAAAGCAAAGTATGCTCTGCTGTTCCCAAATCTACTTATCACCTCATTAAGCCACACATGGGTTGCTTTGGATTCAGAGGTTTTGGTTACCGACTTCTTTTAATACTCCGTGTTTGAAGAATTTGATCAATGAAAAATCAGTTACACTGAGATAAATGAATGCAGAGGTACAACATGGATTGCAATGAGTGTACCAATAAAGCTGTGTCTCTGTAGAATGCTCATGTGGATGGTGACACAGAAGGCAGCTCTGCGCATACACAGAAGATCTCTTTCCTGGAGAACAACCTCGAGCAGCTCACCAAAGCTCACAAGCAGGTAGAAATACATATAAACACACAACTACCACAGTGCTTCCTCCCTGAACTTATCATGGATGTGATTTCTACATGCTCTCTGTGTCCTCTCACTTTGTTTTCCCCTCTGAAGCTGCTACGGGACAACGCAGACCTGCGCGGTGAGCTGCCTAAACTGGAAAAGCGCCTGAGGGCCACCGCTGAGCGGGTGAAAGCCCTGGAGGCGGCGCTGAAGGAGGCCAAAGAGAACGCAGCCCTCGACCGTAAGCGCCACGAGCAGGAGATGGAGCGCATTAAGGACACTCCCAAGCCCAAGAACATGGGCAGGAGAGCCTCCATAGGTAAGGGACACACACATATGGAACCATGTCAGTCATGCCTGCGGAGATTCTCAACACTCAAGCATGTAGATGTTGGCCATGAGGGTAGAGTAATAGGTCAACAATGTTAGCAGTGTATGTGCAAAATGTATGGAAGCTCTATGTTAAATGTACTCGTTGGATTGGACTTATTGGAACATGTTAATGCCCTTTATCTCTGACTTTGTATGTATGATTTTATTTAATGTGGAACTGCAGGACTGATACCAAAACAAATATCCTTGTGTGAACAATAGAATATCATATTGTATTTTAAAGTATCATAATGTAACTAGCACAGGTCTAACATTCCTCAAAATGAGTAGAACAATTATGTGGTAATACGAATGTCAATAGTCTGAAATAAGTACATTTAATTATATGAGGTTTTTCCAATAAGTCAAATCCATCGAGTCATTTTAAGACAACAAGCAAACATTATGTCCTTATTTATTGCTGAATATGGAGCCAGTCAGGTGTCAGCTAGCTAGGCTTAGCCTAAAGACCTGAACCAGGGGGAAACGGCTAGCCTGGCTCTGTCTAAACTTGAAATATACACATTTAAACTACAAACAAAGACATGGGAAATCAAATAACATGTGTTGTGTCAGCCTGCTCTCTGTATGTGACTCCTTTTATCTCTCCGTGTCCGACCCAGCCAAGCCCATTCGACCAGGCCAGCTGCCTGGAGCGTCCCCCCTGATCCCCGGCCTCAATAGATCCAACCTCATCGGGAACAACATCAGGGAGGCGGGCGACAGCAGGTAAGAGAAACCTCTTCATAGTAGCTAAATAAGAAGAGATGTTTTATTTTAATTTGTATGTCTTCCTTATACATATGTCGCTTATTTTCCATTCATTTCTTTTCTGGTTTTCTTTACAGCCCCTGAAGATGGAGCAGTCACCCATGTAACATCTTGAAGCTCCAGACCCAGCTACGTTTTCATTACAAAGATAATGAACTTTCACCTGAAACCACTGCACCACTCTTCCAGCATCAAAGTGTGTATATAAATATATATAACTGTATATAAGAATTCCATAAACTGTGTAGACAAGCCTCTACAATAACCACATCAGTGCCTCGCAACATCAACACATACATGCAACACGTTTTTCTGTCCTGATGTTAGAGTAAAATATTAGTTTCGGTTTGAGCCCAGTTGTTTTTAACTGTGCTTATTATAAACACAAGACACTGTTCTGCCAATGCTTAATTGTAATGTGCAGATGATTGTAATAATCTTGCATGGTCATTCAATAGTGTATTCCATATTGGTGGCTAAAAAGGAGGCTCCCATTTAATTAGAACAGAAAGAGGAAGTGTATGCATGATCCGCCTTTATTTTATCAGATGTTTTATTCTTTGTCGCATGCTTGATACTATCGCTAAAAGCCCTTAACTCCTCAGCTTCCCAGAGATGATTTGACTCGGGAACTGCACTTGTGTTTGGGCTAATGACAGGAAGAGCACTATCAGTGGGGAGACACATTCCTAATTTATGCCTGATAGCTGCAGGCACTTTGTTTAATTATGTTTTGTTTTTGAATCCATTCAGACTGGATTTACATTAGGAAAGTGGATGATTGAAACTTACCCTCCTGAAATACACTATACAAGTGCAATGACATCCTACTACTGTTCAGATATTAAAGGTAAAACTTTAAATACATAATGACATCATTTAAAAAGTGTTTTGGTTCCTTAAACTTAAGGCACCTTTAAATGTATTGCTGAAAAAACCCTTTGCTTATCATGCTTTATTAAATTACATTTTTATTTAGTTATTTCCATCAAAATAAGATTATTGGTATTAAAGGGTTTTCCAAAGAAACACTGCATGCTAAAGAGAAGATTACATTTTCTACACAATCATTTTTCAACGACTGCTATGTTGATCAAATGTGTTAAATGTTTTTTTTTAAATAAATGTAATGCCTTAAAATGAATGAATATTTTTCATATGCCAAAACATTCACATTATCAGTCCATAAACCTCAGAACAGAACTAAATATCAGTGGAACAACCAATGCTCATGTGTTGCACTTCCCCCCTTACACCAATAGGTTGTGCTTTTACAAGGAGAAGTGATGTGATTAAATAAGCATGCAGACGTTCATACATTATTCTGAAATAATGTAAACTTGTTGTTTTATTGCCTGAGGCTTATTTCAGTCCTTTTATAGTCAGAGCGTTCTCCATTGAGGACTTGCTGAGTTCCTGGATCATCCAAGCACTAAATCATTCATGATCCTGCTGGATGGTGAGACTCCCTGCTGGGATTGCCAGATAGAGCCTGGCTGAGGAGATGGGGATGCATCTTGACATGTTTATCCTACACATTTTAATTATGTTTAATGGTTTTAGGAAATGGGCAATGAAATCCCATCAAATAATGAGAACAAACCGATAAGCCTGCAAACTTTTACAAATATGTATTCCTATAGGCCTACCTGCATTGATTTTTCAGGGTCTTAAGGGAAAGTGAAATTTAGACCATTACAGATTTAACAGTGGGTCCTTTGGAAATCCGCGGACCCTATGTTGGGAAACACCGGTTTGTGGGGTGTTGAACCTGGAGGGGGCAGGCCGCCCGCGGGGATCTGGAAGCCGTCTATCAGCGCTGACAGACGGGTGGGGTGGCAGCGATAAACCAGCGTCTGCAGGGTTAAAGACCTCTACTGCGTCATGCTGAACCAAAACTCACCGACTAAACCGGATCTTAAAGGAATGTGCCTTCAAAATAAATTAGGTAATCTGTCTGTGTATGCAAGGAAACATAGTATGTTTTACAATGGCGGCATTTAATCCCATAATGGAGACATTACTTTAAAATATATAATAGCACAGTTAAGGCGCTAAGGTTTTTAGGGCACTTTCAACGTTCTTGTATACAAAATGACCCTACATTGTTCTATATTTAAAATATTATGATTAAAGTTATAAACGCAATTTAAGTTACCGTGCATGTGAGTTATGACTGAGTATATACATATATATAACACTTACATTCTTGTAGTGACTTTTAATGGCTAATGTTTATTTCAGCAAGCTTACTTAATGCATAAATTGATTTTGGATGGATAAAGGATATCAGTTTTAACATTGCCTACGTTATATCAAATTGTATTGTGGTGTTTGGATATACATACAATAAATCACTTATCGTTGATTTCAAATAACATAATCACTACGTGCAACATAACCCCACCACACACAATTATAAACGTTTAATTGATCTTGTGCCAACACATCTAAGATCAAGAAAGTCTTGAATACGTTTTGTATACATTTTGACTACACAGCCAATCATGTTTTTTTTTTGTGTATTTCATCATGTTTAGCTGCTCTGCTGTAATTCCAAGCACCAAATAACAAAACACAGGTTCTTCAGCCAAAGCTCGTACTTTGAAAGCTGTGACCGGATGTGTGTTGTGTTGACGCAGTACGCTTGACTGCCTGAAGAGAGGCGGGGGATTGCGAACACACCGACTGACTGGAGGTCTGCTGCGGACTTAATCGGAGAAGCACACACTGAATTAGGGCGAAAAAGTTGCTTCTAACTACCCATACGGCCGACACAGAACACAGAGAGACACCTCTGGAGTTTCTAAAGGTAGGTATGTTTGAATGTTGTGCGTGAGTTCTCCGTACCATTGGTCAGCGACAGGCTATTGGCTTCTGACGGAGTTACTTTGTTGCTATGCACGCTGTTGCAGAACAGAGGGCTTGTATTCGAGTGAACCTGCAGTGCTTTTGTCCAGACACGAAGCCTCTGGAAATTGTCACTCAAACGCCTCACACCGGTAAAATATCCTGAATACGAACACTATGTTTGGCTTGTGTTTGTTTTAATATTTAAACCGCTAGGTTATCATTACATTCCACGTGATAGCATCAGTCTGAGTGGCACGCACCTACAGATTTGGTGAGCTTGTTTTCTCGCGGTGTGCTTGGACATTTGTCCCCGTTTAGGTGAGCTTTCTCCGGCAGGCACGTCGACAAACACTCTCCTCGCACCTGGGAATCCTTGGTAAGGTCGAGTTGGTGTCCTTTGTTATGATTGCACATGGATTAAACTCCTTTGTGCTGTATTTCTGCAGTCTGCGGGGCTTGAAGGGACCCTGCCCCCCACCCATGGGCCATGCCCCCCCTCACCACCGCCCCAGGCATGCTCTGGCCACTCAGCCCCTGCGATGTATATACCCTAGCTGCTTGTTTTCAACAGTAATTGCAAAAGGACTGTTTTGAATTCAATGCATACCCACATATGCATCAGATAACCCGCATAGATGAAAGTGAATGCAGCAGCACATGTTGAGTGGATGCTGCTTGGCCACATCTGTTTTGAATGAAGCACAGGGACAAAGGCAGTCAGGGTCTCAGGATGTTTTGCTGCTACAGTGGCTGGTCTGCAGATGTATGCAGACAAAAGCACATGTCGTGATTCCTGTGTTGATGCATTGCATAGCTTCATTTGTCGCCAGATTAAGTGCTCGTTTTTGCAGGTTCTGTTACAGTGGATTTGCAATAATTCCATTTACACAAGTGTTTTATACATGACACTGATTTCAGCATGTTCCTGTCATCAGGAGCGTTTTCAGCACGTAGCCCTGTGTGGTTTTATTAACATTTTATTCAATTGTTTTCATTATTATGCTTTCCTCTCATCTGATTGGTGGATGTTTTCCAAATTACTTAAATGGGACTGTACATATTAAATAGCATCCCATATATATACATATTAAATAGCATCCCATCTGGAAATAATATAAGCAGCAAAATATGCATTTTCAACCAAGAAAAAGGTGAGGACTTGAAGTCTTAAAAAGTTGCCATGGTAATAGTTATGATAGCTGCTACACATAGTTTACCTGATAAAGAATACTTCTCATTAGACTAATTGTTGTTGTTGCCTTGTGCCCCACTTTAAAAACTACAGATTGATTCTTAAATAGTAAGAAGAGGACAGTAGGGTATTGTTCAAATGGACAATGGTTGTTCAGTCACTGCTGTGCCAACCTGTTCTTAAACATAAACGAGATCCTTTTGGGTCTCCACAGAGCAGCACCTTGACTTCACTTTGCTCTGACACCATGCGATGACAGGGATTCTATTGCAGCAAAATGTACTCTCTCGGGTCCTGTGCCAGAACTCTGAAACACCACAGCAGTTCGGAGAGAGAGAGGAGAAGAAGACAGAACTAGGGGGGGGTGGAGTTGTACATTTCTGCTGTATTGTGCCGAGGAGCCACTTTAAATGTAAGGTTAACAGTAAGTTGTTTTGTCATGGGGACTCAGTTGTGGGCCCCTGCAAAAGCTAGTGATGTCATTCTTCCAGCGAGCTCTGTGAGGTTTTTAAGGTTGTCTTGCTAGGTTATCAGCTCTTTGACACAGTGTGAGAACTGTTCATGGTGTTATATTTGGGAGCTGTAATCTTTTGGATAAGTGTCCCAACTTTAGATTGCAGTGGTATGAAGAAGCTGCTAATCTAACGGATAAACTCCTTCTTGGACTTACTAACAGCATGACATTTGCCTGGTGCGGCAATGTCATGTCACTTATTACAGGTTGTATCCTTTATCTTGGAATGCAGTAGCTAAACACACCAGATACCCAGTCTGTATTTACTTCAGGACAGTGGCTGTCATACGCCATCAGTGATAGTGCCGTTATCATGTGTGTGACTTGAAGCTCTGACACGCGCCTGACTACATCTCTGGCACCTTTGGTGATGGTGTGAGATGTAGATTGGGTCCGGTTGGCGTTAGGGGATGAGGATTTGTGACTGATTCCCATTACTACACAGTCAAATGAAAACAGACAGTGACTGTTCCTCGAGAGACAGTCATTCATTCATAAAGGCTTGGACATGCCGCGTGTTGTCATAGCTTGTAACGGGACAGGCCCGCACTGGGCAGGCACACACAAGCCCTGGCATGACGCAACAATGTGTGTGTGCTTAGCGTTGAAACGGATAAAACAGAAACCATTCAGGCCCATTATGAACCAGCAGCACATCTCTCATGGGCTCCCATTCTGGCCCAGACAGCTCTCACCACCATAAATCTATTCTTGGTTGGTAGCTGTTAGTCTGTGTGTATATTCCTTTACATGAGGATGGGCCCCTTTATAGATTCAGCGACGCGTTCTCACGCCTCACTAAAGGCACCTGCTTTTACCGCCGGCACTTCCTGGATGCCAGTCCACCGTGGCTGCTATTTCAGGGAAGAGGAATATGATATGAGGGGAACTGCGGCCTGGTAGCGGCTCCTCTGCGATGGGAGCGCCCCGGTATTTATTTAGGTTAACCGACGAAGGGGAGACTCTGACGGGCGGATCAATGACAGGCATCATCTCAAAACAAACCCTGCAGGAATGGCACAGGCCCAGTTGTCCTCTGACTCACACACTGTGAATAATATATCGAGAAAGATCACCCTTTTAAAGGTTTCTAAATGTGTCTGCATTAATGAGTAATGATGCAGAACTCTATGAAACGACACACACTTTATTTCGGGATGCAGACACTCTCTGAGGGAATGTAAGCTCCAGGGAGCCATTGTAGTTATTGGATCGCATGCAGGATCTTAGGGGTCATGTTGTCATCACCTTTAGCTCCGCAGAGGGTGATCAGGTTACCGGGCTGGATATCCTTTGCAGCGGTATCGGTTTCCAGAGCAATCAGTGTTGACTGTCTGTTGTGGTTTTTTAATGATCCGAGGTAGGAGTTGCCTTTACTCGACTCACCAATTGAGAATTTTTGTCTGGTATTAGATCATGTCATAATGTTAGTGTGTCATAGCAGTAGCACTTTGTGGTTGTGGTAATCAGGTGAACAATACAGCGGTGTGTGTGACAGCCTGGGAGGTTAGTACGAGAAATGTGAGCATGATGGTGTGGTCTGGTGGGTGTATGTTAATGTGTCTGAGCTTGCTATAGCTTGTGACATTTAACGAAAAATAACTGTCTTATCTCCCACAGCCCAGCAGTTCCCCACAAGTCGGACATGAGGTGCCCTCCAGGCCTGGGTCGCTGAGCAGCTGAGGTCAAGGTTCAAGTGCTTGTTCCGGCAGTCATGGCTGACAAGGACGGGCCGCCCATCGCCCCGGGCCAGGTCTACATCGAGGTGGAGTACGACTATGAGTACAAGGCCAAAGACAAGATGGTGGCCATCCGCCAGGGGGAGTGCTACATGCTGGTGAAGAAGACTAATGAGGACTGGTGGCAGGTGAGGAAGGAGGAGGGCACAAAGGCCTTTTATGTGCCGGCGCAGTACGTCAGGGAGGTGCGGCGGGCGCTCATGCCCCCTCAGAAGCCCACCTTAAGGGCCAAGCCCACCGTTTTGGATATCCGCCGGGCATCCGATGAAAACCTCAACCGACCCCAACCGGAAATGTCCAGCTTTGGGCGTCCGTCGCCTTCCTCCACCCCCTCGCCGTCCTCGGATCGTGTCTCCCCGCCGGCTCTGTCCAAGGATGCTAACCAGAACCTGGGGAGTCCCCATCACTGCAAGATGGTAGCTGAACTGGTGCTACTTCACAACAACAACAACCACCACCACGCCAATAATTCAACGTTGCCAAGGACACGGGCAGACTCGCCTCCGCTCAAAGTAGGGAACAACCACAACAAAAGTCCAGATAGTGACAAGACCTCCCCTCTGAGCAACCCGCCAGGAGATCGGCTGAACAAGCTCCACAACGACTCGGAGTCTGGGGATGAGCTGAGCAGCAGCTCTACAGAACTTATGCAGGTACGTTGCGGCTTTACTTTATTTAGAAATGGCATATTTACAGGATTGGCTTAATGTGTTGCATTTGTGAGTTTTGATTTGTGCGTTATTTGTCAGTTTATGAGAATAATAAATCGTTCACTATGCCAGTGTAGGTGCAAAAACATAAAGCACTGTAGCTCATTAAGATCTATCCCTGAGGTTTTTGCAGACAGCATATCGGGAGTACTGACTCTTTGAGTACCATTGGTTTTCTACATCTAAAATATTGCCTTATGTTTTGTTCCTTTTCTTCCATTCCTCCTGGTTTATTTCCCTGTGGTGCTTTTTTTTTCTTCTCATGGGTCGGCTGCAGATAACCGCCCTTGTCCCCATCAGATACTGTCATATTGGATGTGCAGAGATTGCATGTTTCTTACTCTCCGTCTCTTGCAGAGCTGCATTCATTCATCGGCCCCTACGCTTCTCCACCTCAAACTGTTTGTGCCTCATTTGCCAGATTTCACAGAAGCAGCAAAAGTTGCAGTGCCTTATTAAAATGCTACCGTTTCCCTTGAAGCATAATTAGTTTGGCATGTACAGATGTGCATTTTTTTTTTTTTGGCAGCTGGGTTTTTAAAGACTAAACAGTCTGTTCACAGCTTTCCGGTTAAAATTGGAAGTACTATAATTGCGTCTTCAGGTATATTTAAACCAAGGAAATGCCAAACACAACTGCCAAAATGTGTAGTTTTGTAACGTTGCCTTTCGCTTATGTGATTTTCTTATACTACAGGAATGTTGGCCATGGTATTATTACACCCACAGCTCATTCTTAAAGGCAGATCATCTCTGCAAGGGGTCTGGTATCTGTGTAAAGTGACTAAACCCCATGTAAGGATCCATTCCTGATGCAGGGATACCAAACTTCCTGATGAAAACATGAAATATTTCCCTCCCCCATGTCCCTTCAGTCACTAGATTGACAACTTCGGCCTCTTCCCAGATTCATAATATGTGTCTCGGTGCAAGGAGAATGGAAGAATGAGTTGAATGGGAACAGGAACTGAGGCTTATCCTCCCTCGTCTGCAGTGAAGGTAGATCAAAGTAGAGAAAAGGAGAATTCTAGACGGCAGGGGTCCAAGCAGCACTGTTCTTCGTGAGCCATTTCTGGTGTGGCTGTATCCAGGCAGGGTCAGCTTGTTTGAAGGCTCCAAGTGCTGCTTGTGTTCTTTGTTCCACAGGCTGCAGCAGCCTCCTCCACCATGGAGGGAACAAAGAGAGACGGGCTTGAATAGAAACTAGGTCATATCAGCAGCGGAGGATCAGTCTGTCGCCCCGCCGTGGGGACCACTGTGTCAGTGTGAATGCCATGTGTGATGCGCCCATGTGAAGTGGAGGAAAGTGAGAATGGAAGCACACCAACACAGTTTACAACTTCATAGCCCCTCATGAAGGACGGCTACATTGATTGTGGGTCGCAATTGAATTGACACACCTCAAAAGCCCCTATCAAGACGAGAAAAGGGGTTCTTTTCTGTGTAGCTGCCTGCCTTTTTTAGATTAATTTCACGCTTGTCAAGTCACACGGGCCAAAATAAACACCCATTTCACTCTCAGCAATTTACATTTGCATGGGCCGCTCTTTGGGGTGTTTTCGTTCAGGGTACAGTAGTGCTGGAGGGGCGGATAAGAAGCAGACAGGATTCAGCCAAAATTCCCTGTGAAGCTCAGCACTGTCTGGTCACGGGGCAGGTGGAGCCCTCTCCCCTGCTCTCTCGGCCTTTTGTGATGTTGTGTTGGCTTGTCCTGTTTGGCTTGTTGCCAGGCAATTGAATGACCCTGCAGAAAACCTACTGCTTCCTGTCTGTGCTCAGGTGCAAACAGACTGGGTCTGCAGGAGAGAGGACCATCTTGTGACAATGCTGTAATGTCTGAAGTGGTTTTGGAGAGTTATGAGTGCTTACAAGAGACTGATTGATAGTAGATGTATTTAGACATGTGCCAATATTTGAGCTACTGCACTGGGTATTATATTTTACAGTTATAAAAAATGGAGGTGAGCAAATGATGCACAGCTGCAGGAACTATGAAGGAGCGGCTGTGTGTTCTGTTTCTTTCTTTTCTTTCAACTAAACTATAATCAAGACACATTCTTTTTTATTTTCTATTATGTTACATTACATTAGGACTCACACAATGAGTGTGGGCGGCTGCTTTGCAGATGCACTGGACTCTACAGCAATTAGAACCATGAACGATAATTATAATGCTTCTTATAATTTAACATACGGTTCATTGTGAACATGCGTCAGGACAAACTATTGAAAGTTCTCCAAAGTTCCCCCACGGAAAACAACTTTATACAACTTTTTTATTTGTTAAATCATCCCCTCGTAACCAGATAAAATAAAGATGCTTTTGCTGTAGTGCTAACTTGCAATTCTCACGTCATTTATCCACCAAATCAGTTCACCTTCAGCCTGAAACACAAGTCCTTCCCTCCCTTACACATATCCTCTGATGGAGAGAAGGAGCCTCTGGATGAATGGGCGGGTGGGGGGACGTATGGACCTGTTAGTAGGATTTGTCGCTGACATGCCTCCGCTCGAGTGCCAGCTGGCCACCTCTAATTGATTAGATTTGATCTCGGGGTGACGATTAACGCCTCTGTGTCTCTCCGTGCTTTCCGTGTGTAAAAGGCGGCTGCAGAGCGGGATCGCCTCCTCAGCACCTTGCAGAGTTGCATCGGTTTGTGGTTGACAGCCATCCTCATGAATCCCACTATACCAAGCCCTTCCCCTCTCCTCTAAAAAGCTCTTAAGGGATTGGCGAAATAAACCTCTTTTCCTCACTTCCAAGAACCTGGCAATGGGATACTGTTTGTTTCGCTAAAAGAATGTGGCAAACCATATGATTTAAAAGCCTGTTTTTCACTCAAACACATGGGGTTTCTCTACGGCTATTCTGTTTTTTAAAGTCACTGCAGAATAACAGATGCTCAATTACCACAAAGAAAGTTATTTTGGGTCCTTTTTCTGGAATACTTTTACTTGTATCTTCCTAAGAATGGGGAAGCAGATACGAAACCTTTTTTATGGCAAACGTCTCCCTTTCTTTCCAAAGTATAGTGACTTGATATATAATGAGTGGCTGCTGTGTGGGATTGTGTGAGGACAGACTGTTGTTTTCTTTCTGAGATGTGTCACCGAGGGGAAGATGTGGTGGCCCTGGATGTGTTTGCGTCTGTGGCTTTGCACTCAGGAGCCGGGCTGTGCTCACTCACTGTCTGATAAAAAAGAACCTTGAGTGGCCCCCTAGGGATGCATACCGGTATCCGGTATTACCGAAATACCGGTTACTGGTGGCTACGGTATACCGTACCGAAATCAGATCCGGTTTCGATACTTTAAAAAAATAATACTAAAAATACTTTTAAAATTAATTTTAAAAGTGAGTCCGTGGCCCGTGATGGTGGGTGTTATAAATTAGATTGCATAATCGTTTTTCTTTATATTTTATGTATTTTTGTTTGTTTAATACTAGAAAGGTAAAAGTCCCACAAATGAACTGTGATGGGATTTGTTTTCTCTCACCAGTGAAGGTAATGTTGATTTTAAAGATGAGATTTGTTTGTTTGTGCAATGCCGAGATCTCATGACAATTATTCTATTATGTATTTGTTCTCTAGTCGAATCTCAGGTTTAACATTAATTATAACGGTGCTATAACGGTCTGTTTGCATTGACAAGATGTGCTATTCACGCGGCACACCTGATGGCGGGTGTTATAAAAGATATTCCATAATCGGTTTTCTTCATATTTTTTATGTATTTTTCATTGTTTGTTCAGTACTAAAAGGTCCAAGAAGTCCCACAATTGAATTTAATATTCATTTGACATGTTAACTATATCGTAAAGTGCTTCATGGGAGTAATTGTGGGATGATACATTTTCAAAGTATCACGATATGTATCGGTTGAGTATCGGTATCGTTCAGTGGTATCGGTATCGTAAAAAAGTCAACAATATGCATCCTTACCCCCATACCCCTTGCCTTTTTATACCATTTCACACTCCAAAAAAGGTACCAGCCGCTAAAGGGGCCCTCCCTTTCTTTCCCAATTTCCGACACTTTTATCTGTTAAGTAACTCCCTGTAGTCTGTAACAGGCAGAGCTCCATGTTAATAATAAAAAGCGCTAATTCCCTGAGATTACAAACGAGATTAGTCGCTCCCCTTTTAAATAAGCTGCCTTTCTGTATGACATGTCTTGTTTCTCAGAAATGTCCCTAGAAGCTCCACTTTAAGGATGCCTACAGTCACAATGACATAACTGGCTTGTAAATATATCCCGATACATTCTCAAAGGGTTTAAAAACAAAAGGAAGCGGCTGAGTCTGTCTGCTTTCAACCTTCTGTGTGGTCTAGATGGCAATGCCTGGGGGAGGAAGAGGAGGAGGGAGGGAGGGGTTTGTGGGCGTAGAAAGACAGGGACAAAGTGCCCAGGCCCCAAAGAGCTGCTGTAGCACCGATGGGATGGCGGAGACCTGGGGGACAGGAGGCCAGAACGATGTGTTTTCATGTTTGGGTGAACCTGAAGATTAGTTGTAGCCTGTGAGCCGTGAACCTACCGGTTGGCTGGCGGCGAGATGAATGACTAGAAAGCGCAACATTACAAGGTCACCGTCAAAGATGGAGGAGAGCACAGTAACATTGTTCATTGTGTTCATTGTTTCTTTCAACATGCCCACATGCACACTTTGGCTTCTGCTAAGTTGTATGTTTACCGACTTGTGCAACAGGGCAAAGGCTGAGAATGTGTACCAGGGGCTTAGCGGTGATTTGAAATAGACTTCTATGTGGGGGTGGTTGCAACTCCTAAGGGCACTTTGAAAACGCATTCACTCCTAGAGAGGTTTGATCAATTTGCTGCCACTTATTTGGTGCAGTGAATTGAACCATTATTATCCAATGACGTGCGTTTTTCCCACATGAAGCAGAATGTGTGTATTGTTCATAGAAAGGACAGCATGGTGGC